TGCATATACACATAGATCTACACAAAGCAACTTGTATTCTCCCCCAAAACCAAGTAAAAAAAAAATAGGGGGTATGAACTCACCTTGAGGTGTGGAAGTCGGTTTTGATGAAGAGAATAGAGGAAATGAAGTTGTTTTCGGCCTAGCTTGTTTCTTGAGGAGATCTTCGAAGATGATATGATTCTAGGGGCATGAACAAGAGATTGATGATGTTCGATGAAAGATCTTAGCATAAAGATGAAGTTTAACATCTTAATCATGAAGTAACTTACCAAATTAGGATCTTTGATGAGGAACTATTGAACATAGTAGCATACTCACGAAATTTTTGGAGTAAAAGATGAAAGAAACTCTTGAAGATTTGAGAGGAAATGGAGTGTAAAGATGAAGTTGTAATGAATTATTGTGTGGGAGGGAGAGAGTTTTAAGGGGAAGAGAGAGATTAAAGTGATGTTTGTATGGAAGACCACCATGCAAACATGAGGTGTCTTATGCACATAATTCCTCATTTCTTGTTTTCTTTGTTTAATTGCATAATGGGCCAAGAATTGGGCTCAAGAGAGATAAGGATAAAATGATTTTGGGCCCACTATTGGCTTTGTTCGAATTTATGAAGCCCAAAAATATTTTTCGGTCCATCGGACCCTTATGAGGGGTTTACGGCCTAATAGAAGTCCAATAGGTATTTTACGGCCCATTAGGGCTAATGGAATCATTTATGGCCCAACAAGGCCTATTAGGGATAAGAGAGCCCTTTTAGGTCCACATGGCCCAAAATGCTAAAGTCTTACAAGTGTGGGTCTAATTAGAGCCCAATTAGGGTTTCTAGGCCCAAGATAGTCAAGTTTAAGGTTAATTGGTCCATTAGGCCCAATAAGAGAATCCTAGTTCATATTAAACTTGAACCGTAATTTTTAGGGTTCTCAACCATAATTGACTACGAAAGATGTATTGTATAAGATTTTGAGCTTTACTGAAGAATGTTGATTAAGTTTGTTGTCATTGAATAAGCATAGGCTACACTATAAAAATTAGGGTTACAAGTATCACATTAGAGAATGTTTACATGAGACTAGAATTTCTTAGCTAAAATGCTAGTTATGACAAAACCTGCCTCTACTCCAACCGATCTTAGTGTCAAATTTGATTGGTCGGGACCTCCTGTTGCAGACCCTACTCTATATCACAACCTTGCTGGTGCTCTTCAGTATTTAACTTTTACTAGACCAGACATCACGTATGCCGTTCAACATATATGTCTCTACATGCATGATCCTCGTGAGCCTTACTTTGCTGCTCTTAAACACATTCTATGTTATGTTCGTGGTACTTCTGATCAAGGACTTCAAATTTTTTGTTCTCCATCTCGTGACATTATAGCATATTCTGATGTTGATTGGGCTGGTTGTCCTGTTACCAGGCGCTCCACCTCGAGTTATTGTGTCTTCTTGGGGCATAATCTTTTATCCTGGTCCTCTAAACGCCAGTCTACTATATCCCGCTCCAGCGCTGAGGCCGAATATCGTGGGGTTGCTAATGCCGTTACTGAAACATGTTGGATTCGGAATTTACTTCTTGAGCTATACTACTCTCCTCTTCGAGCTACACTTGTATACTGTGATAATGTGAGTGTCGTTTACATGTCTTCTAATCATGTTCAACATCAACGGACTAAACATATTGAGATTGATTTGCACTTTGTTCGAGATAAGGTTGCCACCGGTCATGTTCGGGTCCTTCATGTTCCTTCCAAATCTCAATATGCGGATATCTTCACTAAAAGCCTCCCATCCACTTTGTTTCTTGATTTTCGGTCCAGTTTAAACGTTCGCCAACCATCTCCCGTTCCAACTGCGGGGGGCTGTTAATGGATCTATTTTGTGTATACGGTTTTTGTAGTTATTCTAGTATAGTCCTTTATTATTTCTTTAGGCCTTGTATAGATGGCCTAAACATGTTCAACATCAACGGACTAAACATATTGAGATTGATCTGCACTTTGTTTGAGATAAGGTTGCCACCGGTCATGTTTGGGTCCTTCATGTTCCTTCCAAATCTCAATATGCGGATATCTTCACTAAAAGCCTCCCATCCACTTTGTTTCTTGATTTTCGGTCCAGTTTGAACGTTCGCCAACCATCTCCCGTTCCAACTGCGGGGGGTTGTTAATGGATCTATTTTGTGTATACGTTTTTTGTAGTTATTCTAGTATACTCCTTTATTATTTCTTTAGGCCTTGTATAGATGGCCCATATGTATTGTGTATAATACCGTTTCTAATGTATGAAAGAGGGGAGATGAGAAATTATTAAAATTACAAAAATGCCATTGTGCACGTCCCCAATAAATTGATTTTGCTATTTTTAGAAACTACAATAATTTTATTTGATTTATCATAACAAATATACAAACACCATTAATTTTAAGGACCAAAATGTCCCCACTGTTTTATCTGAATAGACAAACACCAAATAACAAAAAGAATAATATCATTAAAAGATTCTGAGATTTGAATCACATCTGATCATGTGACTTCTAAACTAGGTGGTGCTACTTTAGATTTTGAGAAACATCAAATGCAATTTCAAATGTTGTTTTGTCACAAAAATTAAACAATACTTGCTTTGGGTTTAACTTTATTTTCGCTAACCTTAAGAGGTAAAATGAAAAACAAATATACATATATGTATATATTAAATTATTGATATATAACAAGCATTAAAATTTACCAAGTGATGAATGTACATAAAAATAAGAGATGTTCAGAAAAATAACTATATATATTTTTTAAAGAATTTAAGATAATAACCAAGCTTTTCTTAATTTACCAAAATAACCACTGAATTTAAAATGCCCCTATTTCGGATTTAAAGCTAAACATTTTTGTTATATAATTTGAAATTTTCTCTCGTTTTCACCGAGACATAGATGATAGAACAAAAAACACTCTCGTTCGGGACTTCAAAATGTTTATATTTGAAAAGCACAAGACTCTGTTGCTAACGTTATTTGAGCCAATGGGGCATTGGCATGTGCTCATTTGAGGCATGGATTACAACTTAGAATTTTATAGAATAAATTAGAGCTTTTTACTTTATAAATCGAAACAGACTTTTTTTTTTTGGTCATAACTACATATTAAGAATTTATTTTTGTCAAAAATGTTTTATCCGGGAATGAAATATCTATTTTGATGTATTTTCATATGACAATAAAATAGTTATAGAAAGGGGGGAAAATAGTTATAAACAAATAAAGGGACATTGAAACGGAATGTTTCTAACTTGATCAAATTGATAAACGGAGAAAAGATTTGTTATTATTTTATTTCCTTTTGTGAATATCCATTCAAATAACATGCATCCAAATTTACACGTGAAAATCATATTTTTCTAATAAAGAAAAGCATATTTTCCAAAATATTTTGGAACACTGATCATTAAAAAGAATGTATTAACAAAATCCATGATTTTATCAAATTTCAATGAATGGAATATGTAATTTAACATATATTTATGTAAATTAGATTTGGTTTCTATATATGTTTATTTACCAAGTTATATGAATTCTCAAAATATGATTATATACTCTATGAAATATTTTTTTATTAATCAAGAGTTACAACGCATATTTGAAACCATCTTCAGCCCGTAATATCATTTTTGTAGTAAAAATGTTGTAAAAAGTGGTGCTGATTATGACTCATTCCATCATGTTTTACAACAAAAATACTCTAAAGTATAGTCTACTTTTATAACCTATACTTATCTTTTAAATACTTATTATATTTATTAGCTTTTTGAAAAATGGTCTTACATTTTTTTAATGATAATAATAACTTTATATTATTCGTATATAATTAATTCAAATCAAGTTAATAACGCAAGACATAATATTGGGTTAGTGCACATTGATGCTAGAAATAATACAAAAAAATAGGATTTGATGATGGGTTAATGATCCTTTTTTTTTAATAACAACGAATTAGTGGTTAGAATTTAGTAAAATTCGCCAACCTTCGGATCAAAACTTAGCATTTTCGCTAAATAGATAGTCTCTATCAAGTGTGCTAGTTAGTATCATGACAATATATTTTATGGTATTTGATGTTATCATTTACAATGTTAAATTTTATATTAAATTGAGTATCGGTTGAAAATGTGTATTCTATGCTTAGTTTAGTACTTTAGTACAGATACCATGTATAGGTTTAAACACATAATTATAAAATCATGCATCACTTTTATCGGTGTATATAAGGAAATTATTTTTAAAACAAATCATACAGCCACGTTTAAATATATTTCGACGATATACATTATTTTAACGACCAACCTCTTAGATAATGATGGCATGGATTGTTTTATATCGTTTTACCATATCCGATAAATATATTTTCAATTCAAAACAACATTCAACTTTATGAGTTAAACTGATAAAAACAAACAATATAATTACGAAAATATACATTTTAACCGTGTATCATATATATTCCATTACGTACTTAAATTCAGAAGCAGTGTACGACTTAATAAGTACAAATATACCATTTTCCAGCTTTATCAAAATAGAAAGATGAGACATCTTTAGCTTAAATTAACAAAGCTAGAGCATGCTACAACTTGTCATGCACAATGTACAAACGAATAGGACATCAGCTCTTTTGTTTGGGTCCACTTGATTTCAGAATATTGTACAACTGAGAAACACAGTACAATTATTTGTTTTGCACGGGTCATTTTAACTTTTGGGAATATGATTTGCATATAATAAGACTAGGTCCATTTCAAACTGAAATGTACAATCTTTGCTTCACAAAATACAACTCATTCTAACTTTATCGACATTAAGTTACCCTATCTCTACAACGAGGAATTACCCATTTTACAACTTGTAATACATGCAGTACAAGTCACTATAGCATTATCAAATATTGTTGGAAATGGAATGGTTCTCTTTGATCCAAAAGGCCAAAACAATGTACAACATTAAATGCACGATGTGATAAAAGTACCATAACAATATATAACTTTTACTGCATAAGATACAAGTCAATACATAATGTTCAAGATTCAATCATTTTTGCTCTAGGAAAAGCAATTCCCACTTACAAAGACAAACAAAACTTCAAACATCATTCATAATAATCGCCATACAAGAAAAGTTTTTAAGTACTTAGAAACAAGGGGTTTCTAGCAAATAATGTAATGTCATATCTTTCTAAACTTATTTTTTTTTTAGCAGACACTTGACAGATAAAAGTCTAAATAAACATTTAGACTTTTATCAGTATTACGTCAAATGTCTGTTAAAAATATTTTTTTATAAATAAGTTGAGATGAATATAACATTACTCTTTTGAAAACCCCTCAAACCCAACCATTACTATAGTTCTCATTAAACCCTTCATAAAACCTAAGCTCTAACCTCCCTCCAACCCTATCTTCATCATCATCATCATCGTCATCAATATCATCATCATCATCCCATAGCCCATCATCCAAACTCGCGTAATCATAAAACGAATCGGTATCCGAATAATCCGAGCAACTATGACCTTCAAACTGATCCACAACATGTGGGCCCAACACCTTAACCATTACAGCCCTCTTATCCAGCCAATCTTGATCAAGTTTCACATCCCAACACCCTCTAACATCCAAGAACTCAAGCTCCTTACACTTCTCAATGATCTCCACAATGTTCTTGGTGTCAACACAGTTATACGCCATTTCAAGGTGCTTCAGTTTGGACATGGTGGCGGCAATTGCCACCGCCTCCTCCACCTGCGGCCGCCGCTCTTGGATGTCAATCGGATGCATGTTTCGCCGGAATCCCACCAGAGACTTGCAGGATTTTCCGATAGCAGACAGTGCACGTGCACTAATCTTGCGACAGTAGCTTAAGTCCATGAAGGTTACAGCCAATAGCTTTGTAGATATTTGTTCCACAATCGTATCACTTATGTTACATCTTGGGATTTGGAGTGTTTGTAGTGATCGACAACTGGGGTGCCCAAGAAAAAGAAAAAATCAACAAATGAGAGTTGTTAGCGTTATTATGATTACGTAGCTACTTTTGTACTTGAAAAAAGCTTTAATTACAATAATGGTCCCTAGACTATTATATAAATACAATAATAGCTTCGAATGATAAAGACACGGATAAGGAAGCCAAAGGTTTAACAGAATATTGTACTCGCGAGAAATCAGTGTACTTTACACGCCTAAACATGAAAAAGAGAGAAAAATGACAAGAATAGTCCCTAGACTTGTATAAATACAATAATAGCTATAATGATGCTAATTGATGAGGTGTAATTGGCAAATTCTGATTATTCTTAAATTATTAAAGAAAGTAATATATGAAATTAAAGGTAAGATACTACTACCTTTGATGTCGGTTTTGTTACAACTAGTATCAAACCTATTATTTGGGCAGAAACAGTCTACATAAATACTAAATAAGTGAATCACAATAAATAGAAAATCACTTTTAAATCTCACGTTCAAACACTTGTAAATTTTTAACACTATGAAGAGAGAGAGAGGGTTTGTGTGGCTTACTGATCTGCGAGAAATGAGAAAGTGAGATCGTTGAGGATGCCGGAGACAGTGATCTCCCGGAGGGCGCCACCACTTCTGGTAACAAGAAGTCGGAGCATATGGTCAATGTGATCAGGGTTTGACCGATAGCTCCAGTCAAGAATGTTGATGTTTTGCCAACAGTAAGGACCCAACACTGCTTGATTCCATGATTTGCAGACTCTTGGAACGATTGTGAGAGTGTCTTGAAGAGAAAGATTGCTGAAGATCAAACCAAGTGCATCGGGCAACAGATCTGCCCAGTTCCTATAATTCACCCCTGCTTCCATTTCTTACTTCCCCTGAAGAAAGAAAAAAGATCGATTGACTCAATGGAAGGGTTCGCACTTCCCAAAGTCAAACTTAATAGGTTCAAAATACAAAATTATCATTCAAGATTTTAGCTTTTTAGCTGATTTCATTTGCGTCACTATTCAAAGAACTTAAACTGGGATTTAAAAGGTTTAGCTTATAAACAAAGTAATCTGAAAATTTTCAAAATCAAGATCGTTTCATATGACAGTCGCAGTCAAAGGTGGTTAAGACAGGAAGCGTTCTTTAGCTTTCCAGTTTGTGGAGAAAGAAGATGGGGTTTTTGAAAACAAGTTAATCCAGAAAGATGTGTACAAGAAATTCACAAGCATTTTTGAGTTGATAAGTCAAAAAGGTCAAATCTTGACGTGTGTTTTCAAAGAGCTCAGATCGAAGAGTAGTTGGCGGCCAAAAGTCAAGCGACTAATCAAAGCTAGACGAAGACCTAGCTTTGACAACATGAGGTTTATATAAATTTTCTTTGATTTGTTTAATAAAATACCCAATTAAAGAATAGAAATTTGACAAGAGTTGAGCGAGTACCAGAAAATGGATTTTATTTAGACATAAATCAGAATAAAAATCCCGACTTTAAGAAAGAAAGACGAATTCACACATGAGATCTTGAAAAAGAACCAACCTTTTTACCAAATCAAGCACACAAAAGTGAGTTTTGATGCTAACAAGTCTCCTTATTTGATGAAATTCAACTCAAGAATCATGAATCAAGGAAAAGCAAGTGAAGTGAAAAGACATTTCCTTCCCCAGTCACACCCATCTCAAATCTCAAATACCCACAAATTTCCTTCAATCAAAACCACAAAAATCAAAACTAAACGAACCCCCCATTTCAAAATCCAATGCCATCTTCAAATCAAATTTTCAAAAGAAGGTGAAAAAAAAAAAATAGAGAGATACCCAGTTGAGATTTGTACGCAATGTTCGCACTTCCCATTAAATGAAGCAACAAAACCAGATTTCGATCGTAATCAAGAACCGAAAAAGCATAAAAAACTATGAGATATGTTACCTTAACAAGTAGAATGTGTCTGGGTTCTTTGGTTCAAAGGTCTATATAACGGATCAAACACCAAATAATCTGCAAGATTCCATGGGGTTTTCTTGCACGGAACAGAGAGAGAAAGAGTTACAAGAAATCCAGAGATGGAAATGCAAGATAAGCAGAAATCCAAACAATAAAAGCAGGAGAAACAAAGAAGTGAAAGAAATAACAAAGTCACAAAAGTAAAAAGGCTGTATATTTGTATTTGTATTTGTGGCTTGTGAGGATAGAAGAAGTTTACTACTTGCTATTGTATTTTAGTGAGTGAATGCTCCTAAAGAAATTTGTTCTTCTCAGAGAGGAGTAGGTGGTGGTTTTATTGAGCTTGTACTATTTCCAGATCAACAATATTGAAACCTAGAGTAATGTACAAGTACCAATGCATGGTTCACAAGTTATTATATAATCAGTATCCTGTTTTTAGGAATCGGGGTTGTTGAGAAAGGAATTACCTAAATGAGATGGTAGAGGGTGGAGTGTCAAACAAAGTCATCAAATGCTTGTTTCAAGGAGAGAGGGAGGTTAGCTTTTGTGTGTGCCTATTTAATTATTGTGAAACTTTTGACAATTTTCAAACAAAAGTTATGTTTTGACTATTTATAGTCAAATCTAGCATTTATGTTCATTTTGGTTTTACAAACTTCACACCAATGCTTATCTACTTTGGTATTCTAACAGATCTAGACATGAAATTTCCATTCACCGAAAATGCCATATGATAATATTTTATCCTCTTCATTTTCAACTTGAATCATTTTGATTTTCAAGGTGGGACAAAGTTGTCTAAGATGATCTTAAAAATAACTTTTATATTGGATGAGAAATTAATAAGAGTTTATACTTTATACAATTAATTGATTATAGGATGGTTATGTACAAATTTTGTGAACTTCAAATGTTAAGGTGATTTTTGACATGACCGTGTTTTCGATTTAGTTGAAATAATATGAACGTCTATCAAATAAAATATAACAATTTCTTATTTGGTTGTGCATTAAAATTTTAATAATAAAATTTCTTATGAGAATATCCAAGTTAAAGTTATGTAACTGATTTTTATTAATATTACAAATAATTGATCCAAACGAGCTTGGTTTGTTATTAAAAAACGGACATCTTCTCAATTCTTCAACATTTTGCCGAACCACTAACATGTGTCACCTCATTTTTACAATCATTTTTTACATAATTCTTCAGCGTCTTAGAATATATGGGTGGTTTCAACAATAATTCTTTTATATTTGTTTAAACAAATTACTTATATAAAAACTAAAATAATTATTAACTTGAACTGAAAATTACAAATTAAACATTAGAAAATAAAATATAGAAATTAATATTACAAAACATAAAATATATAAAAATAAAAGGGAAATCTTCGGAAAAATCCCAATATTTTACCCTAATTTACGAAAAAATCTCAAACTAAAATTTGTTTATGAAAAAATCTTAATTACCGGTAAAAATGACGATTTTGCCCTATTTCCCCGGTTTACCGGTTTCATTAGTTAACCGGTTTTAAAAAAATCTCATTATTTTACCATAATTTACGAATAAATCCCAAATTATTGTAAAATAATAGGACTTTAATGAAAATAATGGTAAAATAATGGGACTTTAATGTTTCCGGGTAAGTAATGAAACCGGTAAACCGATAAAATAGGGCCAACTCATCATTTTTACCGGTTTTGGGGACTTTTTCATAAACCAATTTTAGTTTGAGATTTTTTTGTAAATTATGGTAAAATATTGGGACTTTTACGGAGATTTTCCAAAATAAAACCTATCTATATTGTACTTTTGTGAAGTCCATTATTTGACATTTAACGTCAATTTGCGTTCATCTCACATCTTTCATTTGGAGTTTCAGATCACTAGATATTTCATTCTTTTTTGCAATGTTCAAGTATTGATCCAAAGTACTTTTTAAGTTGTCTAGCTCATTTGTTAGTTGATCTATATCGCTCGAACTATTAATGACCCTTAGCCCTTTCATTTTGTTTGGTTTCTTCCCATTTGATGGTTAGTTCTTGGAACCTCAATAAGGTCTTTTCCTATTGAGGTTTAACCCGACATCCATATCTGAGGATTAACTATTGATGGTTTCATATGTTCTGGTTCATCTAAAACTATTTGTATATTCGTAGTTTTTACTTCACCCCCGGTAAACTTCTAGAGTTTTATTCAATATTGGTGCATAATTTTCACCACTTTGTCACTCATGTTTCATGTTCATAAATATGGCATTAAACTTCATGACAACTTTGTTGGTACACTTCGAGTAAATTTGATATTTTTGTTGCAAAAAAGTATCCAAAATCATTAACTATTGCTAATATTTATAATAATAGCAGGTCCTTTTGCGTGGCCTTCAAGATCCAAATTTTGTTCCGATCTCGATTGTCTCGGATCGAGATGTACGTTTCACTTCTAGGTTCCGGAAGAAATTTCATGAGGAGTTGGGTACGCATTTTAGTACCGCATATCACCCACAGACTGACGGGGAGAGCGAGCAGACAATTCAGACGCTCGAGGACATGCTCCGAGCATGTGTGTTGGATTTTGGTGGGATTTGGGACACATATTTGCCCTTGGCAGAGTTTTCATACAACAACAACCATCATTCAAGCATTGGTATGCCACCCTTTGAGTTGTTGTATGGGAGGAGGTGTCGGACCCCCATTTGTTGGGGAGAGGTGGGACAACGTGTAATGGGTAGTAGGGAGATCGTGCTCCAGACAACTGAGCAAATACAACAGGTCAGGCAGAGGTTGTTGACCGCTCAGAGTCGTCAGAAGAGTTATGCGGACAGGCGTCGGTCCGAGCTCGAGTTTCAGGTTGGTGACTTCGTACTCTTGAAGGTCTCTCCTTTGGAAAGGAGTGATTCGATTCAAGAAGAGGGGCAATTTGGGGCCTCGATATATTGGACCTTTCAGAGTAATCGCGAGGTTAGGCAAGTAGCCTACCGTTTGGAGCTACCTGCGGAGTTGGGTCAGATTCACGACACTTTTCACGTGTCGCAGTTGAGAAAGTGTATAGCCGACGAGTTGGCAGTGGTGCCATTAGAGGATATTCAGGTGGATGTAGGCCTGAACTATGTTGAGAGACCGGTGGCAATTAGGGATCGGAAGGTCAAGGTTATGATGAACAAGGAAGTGCCTCTGGTGCAGGTGCAGAGGCAGCATAGGAAGGGGTTAGAGCTGACTTGGGATCCGAAAACCGAGATGCGTGAGCAGCATCCAGAGTTGTTTGCAGAATGAGACTTTACGGGCGAAGTCTGATTCTAGTGGGGGAGAATTGTAACATCCGGAATTCCAGGTATATTATTCTAATATTTTATTTTTGGAATTTGTTAAGGAACTCGACGAGTTGATGCTTAGACTCACCGAGTAGGGTCGCGGTTGATCATCCAGGTTCGCGTTGGACTCGGCGAGTCCACGCTGTTTAATGAAACCCTAATCCTCCGGGGTTGGAGCCTATTTAAGGGCACTCTTAGCCTTCCATTGCGGCTACCAGTCCCTTGAGAGCACCCTAAGTGAGATACGTTTGGGAGGAAGGAGAAGCCATATTTGACCTTTCTATCTTTGGTTTAGCAAGAAGAAGGTGATTAAGAGCAAGAGGAGACTGAAAGAGGTGTGATTCTAGTAGTTTCAGAGTCCAAAGACTTCAACTTGAGGTATTTATTCGGACCTTCTTCAGTTTTGGTATTGATTCTTAGAGTTAGGGTTTTGTAACCTCTTTTGAGGATGGTTATGTGGAGCAATTGGTCCTTTATTGAGTTTATACCTTGGATACTCAAAGAGGTCCAGAGACCTTAACCCTTGGAGCTTTATGAGTTATCTTGAGAGTTATGAGCTTAGGATGCCATGTTTAGGGCTAAATCACCAAATGATACCATCTAGATGATATATGAGTGTCAAGGTATGGACTTTACGTGATTATTATGCTTAGAAAGGACAGATCTATGGATTAGAGGAACAGATCTGACCTCAGGAGATCAATGGAGTTTGTGCATGGCATGTACTCGCCGAGTTGTTGTTGAGACTCGGCAAGTTGAGTCAGGGTAGCCCCGCGATTCTTACCTGTGTACTCGTCGAGTAAAGGAAGGGACTCGACTTGTTAAATGGGACTAAAAGAGTTAAGTGGTCACAGGTGGACTTGCTGAGTTGTCCAAGTGCACTCGCCAAGTAGGGTCAAAGTTTGACTGTTGACTTTGGTTGACTTTTAGGGTTTGGTCAGCAATGAGGGCCTTGAGCCAAGGGAAGTGTAAAATGGTCTTTTACCCTTATGAGGGTGCTTAGAGGGAGTAGAGTATAGTTCTGAGAGTTATATTTATGAGAGTATTACTTTATGTGTTTAGGCGGAGGCTAGATCGCATTCCTATCGAGTCAGTGATTTACCGAGACATCTGAGGTGAGTCTTCTCACTATACTTTACCTAGAGTGGTAATTAGAGTTATGTGCCAGAGTTATCGTATGCTATTATGTGATGTGTTATATTGCATTGTTTTTTTATGTGGTTTATATCATGTGTATATCAGAGTATATCATAGTTTATCATAGTATATCAGAGTTAGAACCGAAAGGTTCACCGAGTTAGGACCAGAGGGTCCACAGAGTAGGGCCCACGGACCCACAGAGTTATAGCCTCGAGTGGCTAGTATGTGTTATGTATGGTATTTTTGGGAGCTCACTAAGATTTACGCTTACAGTGTTATGTGTTATGTGTTTCAGGTACCAGTGATGATCGCGGGAAGGCGCCGGCATGACTCGTAAACACGCATGGATTTTTATGTAGTTGATCTTGGGAAATATTTTTGTGAACCAAAGTATTGATACAATGGGATTTTGTTTTTAAATGTGTTTGGTAAAATGTGTTTAAACATGTGAAAATTTGTTTTAAATTTTACGGTGTTACAAGGATATGTGAGTATCGGTAGGAATAGATATGTAGGAATGTAAGCCAATATGGAATTAGTATGGTAATGGTTGGTTTTGCGGGTTTGATAATTAAAGAATATTATCATATCAATATCGTGGGATTGAAATCTCTATGTATCTCACTAGGTTTCCCTAACATGACCCACTCAATTTATATGCATCATACGTATCAAGACGTAAAGTAATGGAACTTTATTAGGACACTGAGTGATTAAGAGACAACTTGTAATAGCATGTAGGACCGTTAGGTCTTTACACTGTAACCTATGTATTTGTATTGATTATGACATCCTTAGAGTTTTAATACTTTGGAAACAAACATTTGTAATCAAAATGATCTTTTGTACTGGAATTTTCCGCAAGTATAATTAAATGATTTTAAAATAATAAAGAAAAGTTTTAATTGGTTTTAAAAATTAGAAAATGTCACGATTGGTATTTGAGCATTAGTTTAAGCGAACTAGGAATATGTAGGATTTCTAGAATTAAACTTAGGAGTTAAGCAATGATGGTGATGTGTGTGTCTAGGATAGTTTAGGTTGTATACCTGAATAAAAACAAACACTAGGATATTTTAAGGTATATGTCTTAAATTATATTAAGTGCTAAATAA